GGAATCCTAGGTGCTGCAGTTTCCTTTTTTTTCGACTGCAATTTTTCGCACTGACAAGTTTCGGCAGATTTTGAGCAATGTGTATTGGACCATGACACGAAGGAAACTCTATTGTACAGGGCATGAGCTATAGACAGGAATGCGGTGGGGATGATGGAAGAGGGTTTTTCTACTTGGTGTAGTAAAAGACGCTGGCGCGCGAGAGTTTTTCGAGCACGGCAAGTTCGCTGGCAATCGGCCTTTGAGCCACAACCACGGCGTCAAAGGTCTGGTCGAACAGCTCGGCGTTTTGGAAGGTGGCAGGGTCCACCTTGGCCCATCGATCGGAGGTGACATAGTCGTCGACGTAGCTGACGTCCACGCCGAGCTCGGTGAGCTTGTCTGCGAGTGTGACGGTGGGAGCGTAGGCGAGACTTGCCTCGCCGCGCTTGAAGCCCATTCCGACAATGGCTACCGATGGCTGACCGGCCTTTGCGGAAGTAGCGTGAATCTTCGAAGCGGCGGAAGCGACTTCGATCGCCTTTTCAACGGGTCGCTGCTGGTTGGCAAGCGCAGCCGAGCGGAGAAGGGGAAGGTCGCAGTTGGCAAAGAGGTAGAATGGGTTGACGGGAATGCAGTGGCCTCCTGCACCGAGCGAGGGCGTGTAGGGCATGAATCCAAAAGGCTTGGTGGCGGAGGCTTTGACGACCTCGTGAACGTCGACGCCGTGCTTGGCGCAAGCATCGGCAATCTCGTTGACGTAGGCGATGTTGACCAGGCGCTGGCAGTTTTCGTACAGCTTGGTGAACTCGGCCACCTCAGGCTTCGAGACGGGCACCACCGTGTTGAACACGCGCGAGTACAGCTTGGTGATGCGCTCGAGCGAGGGCTCGTCCAGACCCGAAACCACCTTGGGGATGTCCTCAAAGGCGGGGAACGTGCGACCGGGGTCAACGCGCTCGGGGCTGAACCCGACGTGAACACCCTTTGCCAGCAGGGGAGAGAAGAGCTCGCGCGTCATGCCGACCGTAACCGAGGACTCGACTACAACGGTCGAGCCCGGCTGCGCAATGCGCGACACCATGTTGAACGCCGAGCGGATGTGCGTCTGGTCTACCTGGCTCAGATCGGCCGTAAGCAGCGTGGGCACGGAAACGAGGCAGAGGTCAAACGACTTGGTCCTCTCGTCGGCATCGAGGTTCGAGATGAAGGTGACGTTGGGGTTGTTGCAGTGGGCCTTGCGCAGGTACTCGCATCGGTTCTCGGACACGTCGAATGCGACTACCTCGTATGCGGACGAGAAGCGCTCCATAAGGTGTGCGCCGACGAAGCCGACACCGACCACGAGAACCGTGCCGTACGTCGCAGGCTTGTCGCTCTTGATGACTGCTTCGGCAGTGGAAGTGGCATCAGCGCCGAAGAACGAGAGCTTGCTGGGCGAGGGAGTGGGCGAAGGCGAGAGACTGTCCTGCGATGCGGTGAGCGATGGGCAGCGCTGCATGGCAGTGAACTGAAAGTCGGCCAGATCTTCGGTCTCCATGTCGTCTTCATCTTCCGAGGCGTCGGCGGATGCGGTGGTCTGAGAGACGGCGGGGTAGTTAGCGCCGAGGACGGGTGCCACGAGGCGGACGACGTCAAGCGACTCCTTGAGCGGCTCCTGGACGATCACATTGCCAGAGTTGAGGGTGGGCAGCGAGGTGCGCTCTGCGAACGAAGACATTTTTGAAGAGAGGAGAGGGGTAGAGACAAGGAAGGGGAAGGGGAAGGGTGAAAGGGTCTGGATAGGGAAGGCGAAGAAGAAAAGTTTGCTGATGAGAGATGGGGAACAGATGCCGGCTTGGTGTGATCTTATATTCGCGTCCCCGCTGGAAGCTCGAATGAGGGAGACGGGTGTGTTTGGCACGGAACAAGTCCTCGTGCACGTGGAGTGCAGGAGATGGGACCGAGCCGCGAGCTCCTCTGGCCCATGTGCTTAGAACGTGCTCTTCTCGTTCGCCTCATGCCGGACTACTCAGATCCGCCATGCTTGCCGGCGGCAAACCGCACACCTCTGCTTCTCTGCAAGGTTGCCGAAACGCAGCACTGTTGGAGACGAATGCACAAACGACCGATGCGCTCGAGGATTTGCAGTTCGCCTCATGCAAACAGCTCATTCGCAGCGATCGCCCTGCTCGTAATAGAGTTTTGTTCGGAGAAGTGAAACACAATATAGAGGGAGCGTGAGAAGAAGACTGCCGCTTTAGGCAATCTTGGCTTCAGAGCAGTCAGCGCCTTCTCTGTAGGTGACAATCACTTCCGGAAAAAGCTCCGTATACAGTACAGCATTACTCCGCCCGGAAAAGATGGTGAGACCATGTCGCAATATGACTGGTGTTGGCTAGCGCTTGCAGTAGCTCTAAGTTTCGTTCGCTCCATCTTTTCGTGGGAACATTAGACGGAACAATGGCCTTAATGCTTGTGTGAATCCCGGTCTTTAGCACCAGGGCCACTTGGGCGGATAGTAGTCGCTCGATCGGCCCGACCACCTCCAAGTGCGGAACAAGGAAGGGCGGCTTCGTTGAGGCCGAATTCCTTGTCTCAAGTCAAGGGCAGAGTGCGGAGCAATGCTCGGGATAGACGAAGGCTGCTGACTCTGCTATGAAGACCGGGCGAGGGGATGCAGCGTGGGAGAAATCGCCATGTGTCGTCACACGCGGTCCACGGCGAAGAGGCGACTCGTCCAGCCAAGTTCCGACGTCTATCGGAACAATTCGTTCGCTCAACGAACTCAATTTGTGGCAGAGGATTGGAGACGAGCGGTCTCCAGCTACGTGGGCCTCCGTCAGGTTGAGAGGGTGGAGGGGGGATGAAGCGATCGCCCACCCTCTGCATCGAAGCAACTGTGCGCGGAAAGGCCATGCAGCGTCCTGGGCGTCAAATTGGGGGCTGGCCAGCCGGCGTGAGGCGGCGATTAGGCGATCTGGGCTGAGCGGTCAGGGAAAAAGCGAGGAAAATGCGGAATTTCGGAATAAAAAGAAACGGGACGCGCGGGGGGCGAAGCGAACAGGCTTCTTGCTAGCCAGAAGTGGTGACGTGCGCTTCACAGGATGCAGTGGGCGGACTGCGAAATTCCGAAAGAAAAAATCCAAATTGGCGCCGCGAACGGTTCGAACCAGTCTTCCGCCATGTTGGACGTGCAATCAAAACGCCCACCGGCCAAGCGCGCCAAGCAGCGTTCGCCTCACCCCCAGCCACCTCATGCGCCTCTGCACCTCCAATAGGCCCCCCCACGACTGCCAACGCGGATCAACGATCCCGGTCCACTTTGCTAGCCGCCTCGCTCACTGAGTGCCGCTTCTGACCTAGCGATGGTCTCTGTTCGCCAGGCAGTCCCATTTCGCACCTGCTCGGCGAATCCCACGCACGCTTCCCGGCATCTTGAGCACTTATGCGATGGACGCTTTCGTGTCGATCCAGCCAATGCGGGACGATCAGATTCATTCGCACGCGATCTGATCATCGATACGTCTGCAACGCACTCACTCAGCCCGCCGGATAGGTGGCTGAACTTCAGGCTGCCTGCTCTCTGACTTGGACGCGGCTACCTCCACAGCTACCCCTGTCCGTGGTGCATGACATACTCGCTGCGATGCCTGAGACCAACACGCCCCTCTTGGCTGGCCTCACAGCCGCTCATTCGGCCCCTATTGGCCTTCTGTACCCGGCCAACCAAGTGTGGCAAGACAAGGCTCCCCTGGGCCATCCCGATTCGGCATGAAATTTTTCTGGCCGGGCTCATGCCGCTCGGTCCATGCGAGCTCTCTTTCTCAAACTTCCTGACTGCTTCCTCCTTCCAACATCTCGACCTTGCTTCATCTCCTTGATCACGTCTTCGTCAACATACCCAGCCTTTCCCTCCTTGACCTCTTCAACGCACAATCATACCCCACGCCCCTTCAACATCGATCGTAGAGGCAGCCTTCTAGCAAATCACTATACACACAACTCGCAAGCATGGCAGATCAGGGTCAAGATGACAGCAAAGCTGCTCAGCTTCACCAGCAAGAGGAAGCTTCTGCGTCGTCGTCGACCGCTTCGACGTCGAGGACACCCTTTCAGTTTGCACCCGTGCCGGCAAGGTTCCGGCGCCATCTCGAGGTCTCTGTACCACCGCCGCCACCCGCAGGAAGACCGACGCACAGATCGAGCCGGCGCAGCTCGTTGACAGGCTCAGCGTCAAGCGATGGCGAAGAAGACGACGACTTTGATGAGGGACGCCTCAACCGGTTCCGCTTCTCCAGAGGCTACTCGTCGGGCTGGCCCGCAAATCCGGCCGGTACCGTGCCTTCCACGCCAACCACACCCATGACTCCTCTCACCCCCATGACGCCGGGCATGCATCGACAAGGCTCGACCTACGGCAGCGAAAAACGCAAGTCGGGATTGTCCGGCCAGCCCTTTGTGTTGAGCCAGCAAGAAGCAGTCGTCGCTACAGCCGCTGTCGAGGTCGAGACCGAGGTCGAGCTGGCAGAGGAAGGAACAGACGCTCCTGCGCAGTCGCAAGCCGAAGCAAAGGAAGAAGAAGGCTCGCAAGAAGAGCATGTCGAACGGGCATCAACAGACCCTTGCCGGCGCTCGTCCATTCCGGAGAGCCTCTCCAGCGACTCGGAACCGGCGCACAGCAATTCACAGTTCACACACACCGAATCAGGACCAGATGCTTTACAGACCCGGCTGCGTGCTCGGCCAACGGAGCTTTCGGGGCCAACTACGACCGAGGTAGACCCTTTCTCCGACTCGAACGAAGCGCCCACCGACCCCTTTGCCTCGCCGCAAGACATCCAGCCTGTCAGCGATCTAGACAAGGACCGAGATGCGGAGAAGATCGGCATGGCTTCGCAAGGTGGCAAGATGGCTTTTGACCAAGACAAGTTTCCAGACTATGCTCCACTCGTCCCGTCGCGAGTGACTGCCGGTCGGTATGGTCTCATGATGGCCATCGGCGCGCTCAACATGGGTCTAGTCATTCTCTTCCTCTTCCTCGCACCTGCCGGTGCCTCGCTGGTGGTCATGGTGGCGCTCAAGTCTCGCGACATTCTCTCGGTGGTGTGGCAGAGTCTGTTGTTCCTGCTCAGTGTCGCTGCGATGCCGTTCCGCAAGAAGAAGCCAAAGGTGATCCATCCGCCACGCAAGATCGTCAGCCTTGTGCCCGTGTACAAAGAATCGACGCAAGATGTGCTCGACACGGTCGATTCCATCATCCAAGACAACCCCGTGCGCCCACAGGATTTCAACATTATCGCCATCATGGCGGATGGGTTTGATGTGGAAGACGACGTGATCGTGCAAGAGACCATCTGCCGTGTCGAGGATTCGCCGTACTTTTCGTGGAAGATCCGCGAGTCGGCGTTCCGGCTGCAGTTTGGGTACCGCATGAATCATCCGATCATGATCGTGCGCAAGGTCAAGAATGCCGGCAAGAAGGATTCGCTCATCTTTGCGTTCGACCTGTTCAACAGCGACAACGAGGCGACGGGGCACTGCAATGCCGAGGCCCGTGCGATGGTGCTCGACCACATTCGGCGCTTGTACAACCAGCCGGATCTGGAGTACTTTGACTTTGTCTTTTGCACCGATGCCGACACCAAGATCTTGGCCGGATCGGTCAACGTGCTGGCGGACCGACTCATGGACGAGGGAGAGAAGACGGTGGGGGCATGTGGGATTGTCGAGGCGGATTTCCACAAGCCCGGTCGAAGTCTGCGCACGTGCGGGCTGTGGTACTACTGGGACCACTTTCAGGGTTTCCAGTACACGTACGGGCAGTGGATCCGACGCAGGTCCGAGTCGTCCTGGGGAAGGGTGACTTGCATGCCTGGGGCGATTACAATGTTGAGGACGGGGAGTATCTTGGGTCAGGCTTCAGCCGAGTATCGCAAGCACGTACAGAACGGCAACCTGGTCAATCGCCAGGTGCAATACCAGGGGACCGATCGACGATTGTGCTGGTCCATCATCTCGCGCGACAAGTCGGTGCGCACTGTGCTCGAAACGCGAGCTGCATGCTTCACCATCCCGCCCCAGTCGCTCAGCCACTACCTCAGTCAACGAAGACGGTGGGGCTCCAACGCCTATTTCAACGCGTTCGTCACTCTGACGCAGCAAAATCAACACCTCGTCACGCGCGTATGGATGGCTCTCGAACTTACCCGCTCCACGCTGGTCTTTTTCCGCATGTACAACTTTGGCCACTTTGTCTTCAACCTCGTCACCCGCTTCAGCCTCATTGGCGTAGCACCGCTGCTGGCCATTACACTGCTGCCACAAATCTGGTTCTTGCTCTTCGTCGTCATCCCCACACCGAGGTACAGGCCGCTGCTTCACCATCTGCTGTACGGAGCCGTGCTCAACAGGCTCTGCAGTATCGTCCTGACGCCCACGGTGTATGCCAACGTGCTGCTCGGATTCGGCGATTTCAGGTGGGGCAAGTCGCATACGGGCGCAAACGCGGCCAACAAGACTCCAGACGCAGCCGACGCAATGGAGCGCGGAGAATCTCGACCCTGCACACCGCCCAAGGATCAGACCGAAGTCATGTAGCCTCGTAGCCGCAATTCAGCTCCAGCTTCATTCTACCCTGTTTGAGCATCAATGCGTGGGGAGAAAATAGACTTGATGGGTATCTCAGCGAACAGTGCGGATGTAGTGCGGCTGAGATTAAGAGCTCGAGGGAGTGCGGAGCTGTGTGCGGAAGCCTGGTGCAGCGTCCGCAAGGTCGCGCAGTTGCGGCTGCGAGGTCGATGCTTCCGGCGCGCGTCGCCGTGGCTGCTCGGAGGATTTTTTCCGCTTAAGCCACACCTGTCAAAAAAATATACCCGCACCCCGCACGATTCTGCTTCCGCACGCGATACAGCGCCCGCACTCTAGCGCATTCACGGTTCCCACTGTAACGAGCAAGCAATCACATGCGGTTCTGCACAAACAGAGAGTTTGAGTCTATGGGGGTTGATTGAGCTAGTGTTGGGGTGAAAAAAGGGGGTGGAATAGAAGTCGAAAAGTGCTGTCCTGCGCTGCTCCACGATGAGGGGATGGTGAAACTTAGAGACCCAAGTCCACCACTGCGGCATTGATCTCATCGATAAGGTTGCGCCTGCGCAGCCCAAGATCTACAACGGCCGCGTTGATCTCGTCGATGACGTTACGACGCAGTCCGAGGTCTTCAACTGCAGCATTGGTCTCGTCGATCACGTTACGGCGCAGTCCGAGGTCTTCCGCGGCTGCATTGAGTTCTTCCACGACGTCACGAAGGCCGAGATCCACGACTGCAGCATTGACGGAGTCGATGAGGTTGGGCTTCTCAGCGCTGCGGCGGGCGGGGCCTGCCTCCGAGGAGATGGGTGCGCAAAGCGCGGTAGTGGCAAAGGCCAGCGAGGCAAGAACGACAATGGGCTGCGTGAACTTCATCTTGAAGGTGCTTGGAGTAAGGAAGTGGAGCGAGGTGTGAGTGGGAAGAGTAGGGTTGAGATGGTGAGATGAGTGAATTGGATGAGTTGGAGGTATCCATCGTCGGCGTATTTATGCTCGAACGGCTATGATGTGAAGCTCATTACGCAGCGAATCCTGTCTAGAGAGTGTGCCGTCTTTGTCGCTATAGCATTCAGCTTTGCTCTCATCCAGCTGCAACCACGCACGATGTAGCGAAGCTCTGTGATACACATGCTCACCAAGCGCAATGGATGCTCTGATGCTGCAGAGATAAGCTTGATCGCACTCTCGTTTTCTACCATACAAACATAGTGACTGGTGGATGGTATTGACAATGAGGTCATTCACGATGGAGCAGCCAAGACAAGCTAGTGAGGTTTGCCGAAGCTCGATCTCCAGAGCCAGACACCATCCATACTGTCATACGACGACGATAAGCAGCCGAATATACCTTGCACCTTCGACCGAAGAAGATTGCATTGATGGGTGCAGAGATAAGCCGATGCTGTGGAACAACGATGTGTCGCCGGCCATCATCTGTCACACCCCGGATCGCCTGGATTTATGCACGAAGCACAAGCGAGGAATGTCACGGAGATTTTATTTTTCCTTATCGCCCCCACCGCGGCTGTCCAAGTCTGCACGATGTCCGAATCTTCTCGACTCAAAGTGCGATGCGAGCTGGGAGCCGAGCCGCACCCGCTGTATTGGGACGCAAGCGGATAGCATGGCGAGGATATCACGCGAAACCATTCACACGACAAGGTCTCAAAATAGGCCATGTACGAGAGCATTCGATGAGTTGTGCGTGCGAGGAGATTGCTCGTCCAAGGGTTTCACGCTGCAGTAGGTCCGTCGACGAACGGAAAGACTGATTGGCGCCGTGATAGCAGCCGCGATGCGACGGAAGCGGATGTCATCGAGTGTGAGGAATCAGATGCGAACGCAGACCGCATCTCAGCGCTCGACACTCGAAAGCGAAGATGTCGTCGAGTCCTGCGAACGGACAGACCGATTACCGCGCTGACTATTCGCCAGGCAACGCGACTCCGCTCACTGACCCACAGACCGGATCCCTGCGTTCATGTGTCATTTGAAGCATCGTAATCTCGCAAAGATCTTGGCGTACCTCGAGAAGGGCCAGCATCATCGGTTGCTGCACGAAAACGAAGGCGAGTGTTGACGTTTCAAAAAGATGAGCCCGCGCTTTGATCAGCAGGCGAGCGCGACAAGCAGCGCTCAACAATGTTGACGATTCAAGCTGCGCTGAATCGCAAACAACTTGACGCCTGATCTTGAGACGGGTCCACAAGGTCAAGTCTGGCGAGCCAACACGCCGATTGCCGCGATGACAGACCGCCAGGGAGGCATGCGGAAGCGGTAGTCGTTGGACAGGCGTCAACAGTACGAATCCGATCCTCTCATCCACAGACCGAAGCCCAGCGCTCGTTGTTTGGAGATGATGCCGGTCCGAGGTGCGGAGTCTCGCAAGCATCCCTGCGCCAAACTTTGAGATGAGCCCACAGCGTTGAGTGGAACGCAAGCTTGGAAGTGCTGCAATCCGAAATCAAGCTACGAAGGAGCCGCACACACTCTCCTCAACCAGCTCACGACTTCGCCTCTTTTCGCACCGCTGCGCTGCCTCGCTTCACCCACTCGGCTTTCTTACTCGCTCTCCAACCTGGATTCAGAACAAAGACGGCAGAGACCACGCCCTTCATGCGCACATGGAGGCGATTGCGGGAGATGTACTCTGTCCCCGATGCTTCCGATGATCTCCAGCATTTCGACCCGCACTTCGCTCGGGGTGCAGCGTGGGAAGTTCTATTCGATTTCGTCTCATGCGGACTGGCGAGTTGCGGCAAATGCACTCTCCGTGCCGTTGCGGAGATGGCCCCGATAGACGCAGTACATGCGGGAGCCAGCGATGGATGCACTAGGGCTGATGAGGGAGGCTACACGCGCACGAAAAGCTCGATATCAACAAACACGATTATTGAGGAACGAACGAACGAGATGGCGTGTCTATCTACAGTGTGAATGAGCGAGTGCAAAGCTGAGCAATAAACGAGTTAAGGCGTGCGAGGATAGTGCGTTGCACCCGCTACATGGGCGCGTGGGGCGTCGCCTTCAGTGCAGGAGCGTGCATATGGGCGGGCTGCCACGCAAGTATAGGGCCGCGTAAGCCGGAAAGCCACCAACATTGCTGACCTTCGCATTCGCTTGACACTTGCTCGCTGTTTCCGTGCGCTTGACCCGATCACTGATGGCTCGCCTCTACGCGCAGTCAACCGCTCTCACTCGTAGTAGTATCTCACTCGCGGTAGTTCGTGTGGGTGGGTTCGGCTCGACCGTCCCGGTAATCCCGGGCTTGGGGCCCCGCATACAGGTCGAATAGGCTCAGCAAGCCATCTTGCGCCCATCGCAGGCCCCTGCTGGCCGGGCAGCTCGCCATTCTCCGCAACACTTGGCCCGTGCCTCAGATTACATACACTCATATGTTCAGTTCTTCGCACGTCGTGTCAGATAGTTGCTCACAGTGAGCAATACTCGGTCTCAATCCACCACTTTCATTCGCATCCTTGTCGATGCTCTTGTTGCCGGTATCTATTTCGCCGCCCGCAATCAGTGGTGTACCACATCCTCGTATCGCAGACCCCAACAATTCGCTCGGTCACTTGTCCTTAGCCCCTCTCACAGGTAGTTCGCTCTCACTCCCACTGCAATCATGCGGACGATGAGTGCTATTTCCCCCTTTTCATGCTGTTTCGTGGAGCTCAGGAGCGCTCTAAGAATCGAGAAAGAGACAACAAGAGCCCAGAGCTTGCAGTGATTTGCCCTCTCACTAATTCCTCGCTCTCACTCGCAGTAGGCTCATGCAAATGGACACTGCGACTGCGCTTTTTGAAGCTTTTTGTTGCGCTCGGGAGCGCTACGAGTTCCGAGATGGAGGTGGGATACGAGCTTGAAGCTCACCGGCCTTAATACCTCGGAGCAGCGTGCGACGCTCACTTCGCTTGCGTTTGAGCGTCCGCTCTTGTTTGAGCGTCCGCTCTTGACTTCTGCGCACGCTCAGACTCGCAGTACAGTCATGCGGATGATGGGTGCTATTTCGTTGTTGGATGCTTTTTTCCGCGCTGTGGAGCGCTGTGAGAACCGAGTAGGAGAGGATACGAGCCTAGAGCTTGCCGGCCTCGATGCCCTTGGCCGACAGCTTGTGCTTGAGAATCTTGGCCACCTCGTCAATGTACTCCATCGTGCTGTCAAGTCAAGAATGAGCAAAACCCGTGCGAGATGGTCGTCAGTTTGATCAGTTCCCAACGTCGATCGGGAGATAGGGGGGCAGAACTTACGTGACGTAGTGCTCGCGCTTCATCTGCTTGCCGTGGTAGATGAGCGCAAGATCCTTGGTCATCTTGCCGGCGTTGATGGCGTCGAGGCATGCCTCCTCGAGTGCGTTGGCGAAGTAGACGAGCTCGTCGTTCTTGTCGAGCTTGCCGCGGAAGGCGAGACCGCGAGTCCAGGCGTAGATGGAGGCGACCGAGTTGGTCGAGGTCTCGTTACCCTTCTGGTGCTCGCGGTAGTGGCGGGTGACAGTGCCGTGTGCGGCTTCGGACTCGATGATCTGGCCGTCGGGGGTGATGAGCTCCGAGGTCATCATGCCGAGCGAACCGTAGCCTTGAGCGACGATGTCCGACTGGACGTCACCTGCAGAGACGCGAGCATTGAATCATTTGAGTGCGTGTCAGTGTCAAAGTTTAGTTTTTTTTATGAGGATCGTGTGCGGAGGTCGGTACTCACCATCGTAGTTCTTGCACGCCCATACGAAACCTCCATCGGACTTGATAGCTTGCGCGACAAGATCATCAATCAGACGTGCCTCGAACCAGGTACCGTTTGCCTCGAAATCCTTCTTGTAAGTGGTCTCGTAGAGGTTCTCGAAGATATCCTTGAAGCGGCCGTCGTAAGCCTTGAGGATAGTGTTCTTGGTGGAGAGGTAGAGTGGCATCTTCTTCTCGAGGGCCATCTTAAAGCAGGCGTGTGCAAAGCCGGTGATGGACTCGGTGGTGTTGTACATGGCGAGGCCGACGCCTCCTGCGTCGGGGAAGTTGAAGATGTCCCAGGTCTGGGGCGCGGAGCCGTCCTCGGGGGTGAACTGCATGGTGAACTTGCCGGGCTTGTCAACGGCAAAGTTCTGGCATCGGTACTGGTCGCCGAAGGCGTGGCGGCCGATGATGATGGGCTTGGTCCAGCCGGGGACGGGGCGCGGGAGGTCGTCGAGGACGATGGGAGCGCGGAAGACGGTGCCGCCAAGGATGTTGCGGATGGTGCCGTTGGGGCTGAGCCACATCTTCTTGAGGCCGAACTCCTTGACTCGGGCCTCGTCAGGGGTGATAGTAGCGCACTTGACGCCGACCCTGTACTTCTTGATGGCCTCTGCGGCGTCGACGGTGACCTGGTCGTCGGTGGCGTCGCGGTGCTCGATGCCGAGGTCGTAGTACTTGAGGTCGATGTCGAGGAAAGGGAGGATGAGGTCCTCGCGGATCTTCTGCCAGATGATGCGGGTCATCTCATCGCCGTCGAGCTCGACGACGGGGTTGGCGACCTTGATCTTGGCTGGTGGGACCGAGCCACGGGGACGAACGATGGACATGGCGTCGAAAGCAAAAGCGAAAGCGCGGCGCGGGACGAGATCGAGGTGGGAGGGAGAGTCGTCAGCAAGCGAGAACGAGGATGCAGAGGATAAGAGCGAAGGTCAAGAGGGAAAGGTGGGGGAAAGTGCGCGCCATGTGTATGTATGATGGCGTTGTGCGAGGCGGACCGGTGCGTTGCCGTCACGTCCGGCGCCGAGAGAAGCCGGAGTGGAGTGCAAAGCCGAAGCGGCGTCGCGCCTTTAAGCAGCCAACCACGACTCTCGGATTTTGGACGAAAAATCGGAAAATAAGGCGCGACCCTTCCCCGCTAAAACCAGCCCAGCCCAGCGCGGCCAAAAGGCAAAGGCAGACGCGGAGCCAAGCCGCCAAGCCGAGCGAAAAAAAGGCCCGCTCGAGCCAGCTAGGCAGGCGGCCTCGTACGACCCAGCTGTCGGGGCGCGGAGAAAAAGGGGGAGCCACGAGGCGCGGACACTGCCAGACTCCAAACGCAAAGGCCGGGGCCAAGAGGTCGGAGCTGCTTCTCTGTGCGCACAGAGATTTGGAAATGGAAATAGGAGTGGCGAGAGGGCAGATGGGACGCTTTGCCTACTTACCTGCGGCAGTCATGGTGCTAGAAAAGAGGCGGCTCTGGACACCGAACGAGAGCGAGGCGGAATGGCTGGCGAGGGCGTTGGAGCGGGCTGCGGTGGCCAGAAGCGACGAGGAGCTCTGGATGCTGGAGCGCGAAGCTGCTGGGGTGCGAGCGACGCGGGCGGAGAGGGACGAGTAGGAGCGGCTAGAGTAGGAAAAGACGCGAGTAGAGGCGTTGGCGCTGAGACGGGCCGTAGACATCTACTTGTGGATAAGGTGGGTGTGGATAGGGATGATGGTGGAGCGTAATGAAGATGGCAAAGGCGCACAAAGTGGCCGGTGATTTGTATGGGCGACGGCGAAAGCCACGGCGAAAGCCACGGCGAACGAAGCGGAAGTTCGGGCGTGGGCGGATAGGGCGGGACGGGGGAGGTGGGGATGTGGGGGTACGAGCGGCGAAGCGGATTGGACAGGCCAAACGAGCGGGCGAGAGAGAGAGACAATGTCGGACAGGGTCGAAGGCAAGGGGAGGGGGGGAAGAAAGTTTGGGGGAGGGCGTACGAGGCGAGCGCGGAAAGAGCCGCGCCGAAGGGTTCAAGCGAGGCAAGCATCGGCCGAATCAAAGAGAGCAGAGCGCGTCCGGAGGTCGCGGGCATACCCAGGTCGCGTATGGACCGCGGACCAAAAAAGAAAAGGAAATGTTAGAGCGAGACATGCCGACCGGCGAAGGCGGACCGAGATGCACAGCAATGCAGCAAAAAGCCGTCGGGCGCAATCCAGACGGAAGGCGCGAATGACGGCGGTAGCAAGAGGCCATCCGAGCAGAAAGTGGCCGAGGTGATAATCAGATATCGAAGAAGGTGTTTCGATGCAGGGCAGGTGCAGAAGCGCCACGGCACGACGAGCGTACGATCGGGGCCCGATGAGCAGTCAGAGTGTGTGTCGGATGCGCCGAAGCAGATGTTGCCGATGTGCACGTCGAGTGTGACAGAGCATGAGAGAACGCCAGTAAAGCAGCCCAGTAAGGATTGATGAGGAGATTGAAGGGTGAGGAACGAGGCGGTCAGTCTCAGGCCAAAGGTGGGAAAGTTGGGCCTTACTTGCGCATCCCATCGCCGTGCAGCGCCGACGAACCGCAAAGCAAGAGCTAGCTTGGTCGAACAGAGAGTGGCGAGAAGGCACCTGGCTGTCGCATAGCTGCCTCTCGGTGCCAGACTGCGGAGGACGGGTGTGCGCAAGTGGGATTGGCTCTGCGCAATGCACATACCGTGACGTTGTTGGTCTGCTGCGACGGCAGGCGTTGAGGCAAGGCGATTCAAAGCGAGAGCCGTGTGTGACGATCGTTACACTGCTGATCAAGATGCAGATCCCGTGGTGATGATGGTGATGAGAGTGTAGAAGTGGGAGCTCGAATCGAAGGGGCGCTTCTCACGATGCTCTCACAAGCCAGACGGCGCCGATAAACTCATGTGGAGCTGGCGGCGACCTTTCTTCTGAAAATCTGCGGCGCGCTTGAGATGTGCATGAGTTGACTCGACCGTTGCTCGCTCGCTTGCTTGCTGGCTCGCTCGCCGGGTGCGGGCCAAGGAGCGCGCTCTGTGATTTGGCGTAGCCGTGTTATCGCTGCAGCTCGTGCATGCGCTGATCCGATCTGATCTCTGCTTGCGAGAGGGGCAAAAGAAAACAAAAAAGCAGCGGGCAGATCGGGCGAATCGGTGGAGGTGCGGGGCGCGTGCAGACGGCCGAATGAAGGCGAATAGAGTTGGAGGCGCGCCTGCGTGGTTGCGGTCAGGGCGCTTCCGCGACTTTGGACCCTCTGTGCGTATGCAGGGAGCGCACGACTGTCGTCTGGCAATCAGCCACCTCCTCTCCAACTCTCTCCACCGCTCGCAGCTCGTCCGCATCCGCATTCGCCCATCACTACGCAGGGAACGATGAACGTCAAGCCGCACAAACAGTCCATGTCCGAGCTCAAGCTGCGCAGGCTCACCGAGCACAACCAGCGCCTCAAGGAGGATCTCGAACGTCCACGCATCCGTGTCTCGGAAGCCAGCCAAAGGTAAGTTGTCCCCCGCAGCTTTTGATGGAATCGATCTTTGGGTTTGTTCGTACACTGACCTGGCGATGTTGGTGGTACAGTCTGATCAACTACTGCAAGGGCACGCGCGATTACCTCGTGCCCTCCGTGTGGGGACCTGTTAGCAAGGGCGAGGACCCGTATGCGCCCGCGGGCGGAGGATGCAATTGCACCGCCATGTAATCGCCACTCACCCCGTCCTCGATCGTGCTCGCCGTCGCGAAACTGCGCTCTTCGTCAAGCTCGGTGACTGTGGACGACAAGCTGTCCAACACGAACCGGCTGAATATATCCTGCAGCCCGCACGCCTTCTGTGTCTCTGCATCGCCTTTCTGCATCTACACCCGCATTGCTTCTGTCTCCAAGCTTGGCTGTGTGTGATGCGAATCCTGGAGTGTGTGCGCAGTGAGGTCTTGGCCGCGTGTGTGCAAGGTGAGACCCAAGGCGCGTAGTCGAAGCGGTGTGCCGAGCCGGTGGAAAATTCTAGACGCCATCGCTGATCACGAGCAACGCCAAAGGGTTGCCTTCCCACCACCATCCTGCTACGCAGCAATCGAGGATTCTTCGGTTCGGCAAGGCTGGAAACGCATCGCAAGACACATGGCTCGGTCATGACGATCACCAACCCGTGGTCGTGGCGTCGGCTCGCGGATGCGTGGAACCAATCCGCCTCGGCGCCTGCTGTGGTCAAGCCGCGCGCGCGCAGAGTGCAGCATATCGAGACCATCGGCGGCGGCGCAACGCCCACAGCCGTGCCTCTGGTGGCAAGGTTGCCCACCGAGCTGGTGGTGCATATCGTGCTGATTGCCGCCGACGCTGCGTCTTCCCGGCAGCGTTTGGAGCTGGCACGTGTCAGTCGGGCTTGTCACCGCGCCATCCTATCGACGCTCCTCCTTCCCAACGTGCGTCTGTATGCAGACCAGCTTCGAGCATTTGCGATCGCGCTCGACAAGAACCGGCTCGGCATCCGAGAGCTGGCGCGAACACGCGTGCGCAGGCTCACAGTGCGAACCGGCAAGGTCGAGGGGCTGTTCGATGCATCGCAGGCGCAGGTGCGGTTCGAACGGCACATGCTACCCTTCCTGCGTCTAGCCCTGGGCTACCTTGACGGAGTGCAAGGGCTGGTGGTGCAGGGAGTGCCGAAACAGCTCGAGCTAAGCGGACTGCGCGAGATGGCGTGCATCATGGGGCATTGGGGCGGTGATGTCCAGCGCGGCTTTTGGCAGCCCCAAAGCTGGACCGAGCTGAAAGACTTGCAGCTGCATGGACCGCATTTCAGACTGACGCCACAGACAGCAGCGACGATGGCAGCACTTCCCGCGCTCAGGAGGATTGCACTCGTGGTACCGGCGATTGTCCCGCAGGCGTCGGATGTGGAAGGACTCCAAGTGGCGGGGCGGATCAACCCACTCCAGGTGCTACTGGATCGATGCACGTCGTTGGAGGTGCTGCTGCTCGTAGCACATGCGGAACGGGACTACGTCGGGTATGCAGAGAGGTATCGCGCCTGGTTGCGGACATTGCGCAAGTCAGCGGCGCCACAAGCAACGATCCAGATGGTCACCGTATTCCGCACCGAGGCAGCGGCGGGCAGAATGCATCCGTGCGAGGTGAGCGACTGGATGATGCACCGCGCTAAACACGGACAACACTGGTTCGACACCGAGTCGACACACCCCGATGAGGCGCTCGAATACGTGCTCGAGAGCTTCGAGCCGGCCACGCCGGCATCATCATTGCCGACCAGCACCACGGGTGGATCGACGCCATTTGGGGTAGCAACTCCACATTCCCGGCGACAAGAGGACCCCATAGACCCAGCAGAGCTGCTCGCCGACGATAGCGACGACAGCTAGACCTCTTGCCATCATGTACATCATCCGAACACACCGGCTGTAGCGGCCAGCGCGAAAAGTGGTAACATGTTAGATCGGACTCCGCGAGAGTTCGGAGATCGCCGAGGCTGCAAAAAGTGGACTTCTTGGCGGCGCGAATTGCGGCTAGTTGAGCGGATGTAGTTCCGACCATCCGGTGCGGGGCATACACCGCCTTTGCTGCAAGACCTCGGGACCTCGAGCCTACTTGCGGCCCCAGTGGCGGCAAGGTGAGAGCGGCAGTAAGCAGGCGGTGTGGGTGTTGTTGGTGGGGCATTTTTTCACGCCGACGCGCTGGTGTGTGCGCCTCCACCGGCTCAGAGCGAAAGTCGCACAAAAAGGACGGCTCGCGCTCTTATCCGCCCTACCACCCCCCGTACGCCTCCATACAACCCGCATAGATCGTATAGACAATGAGCGGCATCGATATGGACACACTGCCTGGGCAGTTCAAGCAAGCGGTCGAGGCGATCCGGGCCGCTGTTCCCGCCGAGCTCGCCGCGCCCAAGTGGGGCATCATCTGGTAAGTTGGCGCCAGGATCGTCGCTTCTGCTATGGGATCGATGCTGATATGCATTTTGGCTGTGGTAGCGGATCTGGGCTGTCTGGATTGGCTGGGTCGCTCGAGTCGGTCGTGCACGTTCCATACACGTCCATCCCGGGATTCTCGGAAAGCACGGTGGAGGGCCATCAGTCGTCGCTGGCGTTTGGCTACATCCGTGAGGGCGAGGCCAAGGTGGCGGTGGTGGCGTGTTTGGGTCGCTTCCATACGTACGAGGGCCACAGCGCTGCAGCGTGCGTGTTCCCCACGCGTGTGATGAAGCTGCTGGGCGTCGAGGCGCTCGTGGTTACCAATGCGGCGGGTGGACTCAAGGACTCGTTCCAGGTCGGAACGATCATGGCCATCCACGACCACCTCTCGCTCCCCACGCTCACCTCGATGAACCCGCTGATCGGAGCCAATCTGGCGTTTGGACCCAGGTTCCCGCCGCTGTCGAATGCGTACGATCTCGAGCTCCGATTGGCGCTGTACAGGGCAGCGCAGAAGCTGGGTCTGCAGGATTCGCTCCAGTCCGGAAGCTATGCCTACGTGATGGGACCCTCGTACGAGTCGCGTGCCGACGCCCGATTCCTCAAGACCGTAGGCGCCGATGCAGTCGGAATGAGCACCGTCCCCGAAGTCATCGCCGCCGCCCATGCCGGCATCAAGGTGCTCGCCATCTCGCTCATCACCAACAAGGTGGTGCTCAAACCCTACTTTGACTTTGAAGCCGCCCTCGCCGCCGAAGCCAACGGCGGCCCCAAGGCAGAAGACGCAGTCAAGCAGACGCTCAAGCAGGATACCGCCGAAGCCGCCAACCACGCCGAAGTGCTCGAAGCAGGTGCCGCGCGTGCGGAAGATATGCGCAAACTCGTCGCCCTCGTCGTCACTTCCACCACGCTCTAAACCAACCTACCAACCAACCCCGCCCGCATCTCGCATAGGAATCTCGCAAAACTGTGAAAAAAATGATCCATCAAAAAAGAAAGAGGATCACCTTTGGTATAAGAGCAGTGAAAGAGGGATGATGAACATGTGTGTGTGTGAGTGGGTGTCCGTTGCAAGCGTGCTCGCGTGTGCTGATGAGCAAAGAGCATAGACGCATCAGGATCGTGCCTTTGGCGCCGTTGCGGCGGCAGCTGGTGCGGGTGCTGGTGCGGCTGCGCTCGTCGTGGCACTAGCCGGTGCTGGTGGTGGAATGGATGTGGAAGTTGCACCTGCGCCTGCATTGGATCCCGCTGCTTGTGCCGGCGTCACTGCCGCTCCTGCCTCTGCCGCCTCTGCCGTCCCTGCTGCCGCTGGCGCCGCCGGTGCGGGCGCGACTTTGCGGAAGAAGGCGGCGGCGCCTGGAGTCGCAATACCGCCTGCCGCCTCTACCTTTTCGAGGCGCTCGATCTGTTGGTCGCGCACCTTGTCCTGCCACTTTTGCAGCTTGCTCGTCTCGTGCACGGGGAAGCCAAAGATGCGCGGACGGTAGCGCTCCACCTTTGCGGCCGCGGCGGCGGTCGAGTTGGCGGGCGTGGCGTTGGTGCTGGCGCCACCCGCCGCTGCACTGCCCGCGGCGGCTGCGGCGGCCGATGACGACGGCACGGCGCCAGCGGGCAGCGACGAGCCGTTGCCCGCGCCGCCGGGGACCGACATGATGGAATCGTCGACGTCGGCGTGTTCGGCCTGCGCGCGTGCGTCGGCGCGATGTTGTTGGGAGGCGCTGAGGAGAAAGGGCGAGGGAGCGGTGGGGGACTTGGAGGGGATGACGGTGGGGTAGACCATGAAGAGCATGTGCGGGAAGGTGCTTCCGAAGAAGGCGCCGTCGATGGTGCCGTGCCTGCTGCTCTTGGGCGAGTAGATGTCTTCGCAGCGCGGGCAGAAGAGCTTGACGGCCTTTTGAAAGGGATTGTCGCTGAGGCCGACGGGCAGCAGAGGCTGTTGCCAGCAGAGCACGCGTGGGCAGCGGCCAAAGTCGGCGCGCTTGTACTTTTCGAGCATCTTTCCGAGACCGCGGGTGGTGATGATGTAGCGGGCGTGGACGAGGCCGTAGAGGAGCTTTGCCTGCGCCTCGACCGAGTCGCGGATGGAGTCTGAGAGGTCGTCCTCGAGCGAGTCGGTGATGAGGTCGAGCGCCTGCGGGTAGTGCTGCACCTCGGCGTTGAGGCCGGTGAGGTTGAAGCGGTCGAGGATGTAGTCCTCGTCGACCTCGCAAAAGTACTCGTTGCCCTTGGTGGCGAGGAACCAGGTGACCCACGAGTTGGGCACGTAGTCGCTGCTCGCCTCGGTGAGATCGTCCACTGCGAGAAAAGCAAGGGTAAATGGTGTCAGCGAGTAGAGCGACGGACAGCAGGAGCGGAAATGATTACTCACTCATCTTGGGGGCGGAGACTGTGGTGTGTATGTGTGCTGCTGCTTGCACGTGTGTCTGTCTAGCAGTATCGTTGCTGTGGACGTGGGTGCGGGAGGAGGTGTAGCGAGACTGCGATGCTGCTGCTGTGTCGATGGATGCGCAGTGTGAGAATACGGGTGGGTGAGCGTGCAGGAGTGAAGCCGAGTCGGGATGGTGGAGCTGGTGCTCGAGGATGGAATGCCGTGTCGAGACGCGGTGTGCTGTATATGCAGCTTTTGGTTGGCTCTCAAGAGGGCTTGGCTGAGCCGAGCTGAGCGAGATTGCGAGATGCGTTCGGGAGCTGCCGAAGCTGAGCGATCGGGACGATGGCGGCGAGACGGAGGTGATTGGGGGAAAGGATGAGGGAGACAGACAGGATGGTGGAGATTGATTTCACGAATTTTGCATGGACTGCAACTGCAACTGCAACTCGAATTGCAACAGACACGGACCGAGCGACAGCGGCTGAGTGAGAACTCACGCCCAAGAGGAGAGTGAGTGGGAAAGCACGAGCCGGTTCCGCTCACCAAAGGCGCCTGAAAATTGCAGCTGCAGGCTGTTGCACTTTGGCGGGCGAGCGGCCGTGATCAGACCAGCCAGGCCACGTCCGGCTCGTCGGCGCGTGTCCAAATCGGCGCCCGACTGCGAGTCAATCGTCGATCGCACGATGCTGTTCGGACTCTCCTCGAGTGTAAGATCGCATGGGCTGCGTTCGGAAGCGCTCGGTTTGGGAGGATGCGCCTTTTGCACCGCGCATTTGGCCGGCCAAAATGGCGACCGAGACGGCGCAACGTTGGGCGATGCCATGCCCCAACACACACGCTCCAACGCTCGAGATGGAGCCAGCGGATCCAGCCGCGGCCACGCCGTTCTCGCGCCATGCTCTCCGCCGCTTTGATGGCACCCTCGCCCTCGATACCGACGGAGTGAGCCGTTCCGTCATGGCTCACGGAACATTCATCGCCTGGACTGCACTACAAATGATCATGGATGCGGTGGAGTCAAGTGCGCTTCTACTGTATACACGCCTGCCAGTCTGGTCTTCGGGTTGGGCGCCCATCGATAAACCACCTGCAACGGCGCGCCTGTTCCTGCCCTGCCCTTCCGTCTTCTGATTGATTTTTCGAGTCGGGCGTGTGCCTGGATTGACCGACGCATCCATCGGCAGCGCAAGCGCAGATCGGGACGAGACGAGACCTTACCTTCCTGTCACAACAGCCCGGACAGGCGCAACACGGACAAGCGCAGGTGGGGCGGAGGAGGGGATGCGTTGTTGGGAAAAAGAAATGCAGACTGGGCAGAAGCAAGGCGGCCGGTGAAATTCGGCGCTTTGACCCGCTTCAAAGCTGCACTACAAATCCCACGCGAGTTTCGACTTGCTAGATCCGTGCACCCTGAGCAGCAGCCGCCTGTAGCTCCCATCGATACTGTGCAGCCCGAGCCTGACGCGACCAATTTTTCTCGCTTTTTTTTTTCGCCGTTCTGTTCGCCTCGCTCGCACTCTCCCCCACGGCTTGAAGGAGGCTTGGAAGAAAAGCAGGACGGGAGCACCTCGGTCTGGCTCTGCTCGGTTCCAATTTTTTTTGGTTGGTTGGTTGGTTGAGGCTGGCTGGCTGGCTGGAATTTGGCTGTGGTCAGGGTGCGCGCGCGCGTTGCTTGGGCTGTTGCCCTGCCATTGCGCTGCCGTGGGCTAGATCGCCCGTGCTTTTTCTTCTTCGCAAGCGCTGCGCAGAGTTGGCCGCCCCCCCCAATCCTCAATCCTCGGTCCTCAATCCTCAATCCTCGCTGGGCGTTGGTCGTCGTCGTCTCGTCACCACCACCGTATCCTCCGCATCCGCACCTCCTCGTCCTCACCTCTCCCCCCCTGGTCGTCGCGCTTCTCATCAACATGGCCGCCGCTCGCTCCGCTTTCGCCTCGTTGGCGCGCGTCAACGCCAACCGATCCACGCTCCGATCGCTCTCCACCACCGCCGCCGCCAAGCAGCCCTCGGCGTTGCTCGAAAAGGCCAAGCCGATCGCCAGCTCGTCCCGCCTGACCACCGACCCCGCCGCACTCACCGCCTTCATCCCCTCCTCCTCCCGCAACGCCTCCACCGATGCAAAGCCCCAGGAGATGACCGTGCGTGACGCGCTCAACTCGGCCATGGAGGAGGAGATGCTGCGCG